GGGGGCGCTGTGCATGCAAAAAACGCATATAACCCGCGGGTTATATGGGTGAAAATACGGTAATTGAACCACAGTTTACTAAATTAATTAAATTGCCTAGGATTGCATGACATAGTGAACCTTAGAGTAATTATACTGGTTGGATTTGCATAATATATTCCACCACAAACTGAATTTATACAGTACATCACCAGCTACATTTTATTCTGGAATGTTGTGCTTACTTAACCTATGGTTCATTGTGTTGCACAAACTCAGAAAACTGGGTTAATTGAGAAAGCAAAGGGCACCTTATCCATGGGTAAGAGTCTTGTGTGATCACAGCAAAGAAGCCACAGTTTAGTCAAGTGGGTTGTGTGAACCCAACCTTCCTGCAGCTTCTTAAAAAAATAAGAAGGTGAATTCTGCCACTACATGCTGATCTGCAATAGTTGTTCCTGCTTGGTGGAACTTTCATGATAAGCAGTTCCATCCCAACCTATAATTCCAGTCATAGATTAAGTTTTCCAATGGATCTGTTTCTGAGATTGTAGGCAATATCCATTTTCTTTACTTAAAGCCTGGACTTTATTCTTCACTGGGCATAATCATAATTGGTAACTTTCCCTGGAAGAAAATCACACCAATATGTCCGGGGGGGGGGGAATGCTCGAATCAAATATATAAACATATATACATGCTGGGAGCATAAATAGTTTTCTTGAACTGCAACATGAGATGCAAATTAAATAAAAGCAATACATTAAATTTATCGATCATCATGCACAGTGGAAACAGAAATTGGAGGTGGAGGATCATTTCATAAAAGCATCTTCACCTCATATCTTATATTGCTATTCTGTTTTAAAATGATATTCTCCCAAGTGACATATGAGCTGTTAATTTTTTAAAAAAAGTATATATTCATGCTTATGTATATTGTGACCCTAACTGTATAGTGAATAGATTGTCTAATCCCTACGTTCAGTTATTGCCCTTGTACAAAAATAGCCTCATTCATATGTAACGTTATGCTATTATTATGTAGATAAACTTTGGGCAGGAAAGAGTTTGGAAACATTGTCTTCCCCTTTTAACAGGAGCTTATTATTTTTTCTGAACATCAGCCAAATTGGATAATGATCAGGCTGACTTGGAATGTAAGGTGGTATAGAACAGGCCACAAGATTGGGGAAAGCTGTTCTAATTTTACTTTAAACTTAACAAACCCTGTGAGTTTGGACAAGATGAAAAAAAACAACCCACCAGTTAATTAAAAGCAGAAGCGTAACTTCCAATTTTTTCCTTAAAGCTATGCCAGAGAAAGGGGCAAAGAAACTGTGCATAGCCACAGTTCTTGGATGTAATGCTAAATCATTATTTAGTGTAGAATTTGTAATGGATCAATGAATTCTTTAGTTGGAAAGTCAGGGTTAATCATTTATAAATCACTGTACATAATTCAGAATCACTGGACTTACAAATGAAGCCCAAAGACACCAGTGCTTTAAAGAAAGGTGAATACTATTGTTAGAAGAATAATTGGGGGGCTCTGGAGTTGCGCAAAACAAATCCCTAGTTTTCAAAAACAGATCAAAAAATGAAATACAGACATACTGTGAGAGAAGGAGATTCATTTATTCCCAAAAGCAAAAATGAGATCCAAAGACTTCGTTTCATAAGGGGGACTGGCCCTGGGGGGCATGGTTTGTATGTATATGCTCTTTCTAAAGTATTTGTCCAAAGGTAGTTGTCCTTTCTGTGCAGATTGAGGTGCTCCTGTTCTAGCCTTTGATCCTGAGGCGCTTACGAAATCCAGAATGAAAGATTGCCCTCAGATATATAGCTCCCTCCCTAGATGTGGATTTATTATGAGTGTCTTCCTTTATCCTGAGGGGATGCCTGCCTCCCCAATGGAGCCAGTGAGATGCTAAACCCTCCCTAGGTGTGGATTTATTATGAGTGTCTTTCTTTATCCTGAGAAGATTCCTGCCTCCCCAATGGAGCCAGTGAGGTACTAAAAAGTGCGTGTGGGACAAATTGGAGGCCTTTTAACTTCCAACACTACATCACAAGAACTTCTTTCCTTCCTTCCCCCTTCCCTCATCATGACTGGTTGAATATTTTTCTTGCTGGATTATTCCAGTCGCTGTGCAATAATATAAGCTGGTATAGAGTAGACCATGCATTAGGAGTAATCTGATATACTGTTAAGCAGTGCTACCAGACAAAATATGAAAAGGATCACAAAGTGATGAAGAAATCTGGGATTCTATACTCTACAACATTATGTTTTATAATTACTCTCTGATGATTCATAGATATTCATTGCAGGGACTATTATCTACATATCTTCCCCCTCTCTCTACATATACCACCATCTTGTTCTGCAACTCCTCAAAGTAGAAGCCCTGATCTCCTTGTTCCTTTTAGAGGGCCTCTCCCCATTGATGAGTAAAAGTATTATCTACCCCTTCTTGGGTCAACAGAAAACTACTCCAGCATGAAATCCTTGTGCAAGCCCATCCTGCCTCTATTGCTATTCTGATTATATTTGCACACTGCATAATTACTAAAGCAATGGTGTGTGTGTGTGTATGTCTGTGTGACAATCTTTTGAAGTATGTTGAGTCACTAGCAGCAATTTCTCTTCTTTCTTTACATGCATTAATATTTACATCAGACATGTCAATAAATCTCTTCTCTCCAGAAATCCAGCCCTGTACTCAGTAGCTAATTGCAGTCGCTCCAAGAACACCAGAGTAGCTTTTATTATAGACATGAAAAGAGTAGCATATGTGCAAAAGTTCAGTCTAATAATATTATATTGTACATTTATTCCATGGTTACAAGTGGTTCTGTCTTGTCTAGTCTTTACCTAACCAGTCTTAGCCTTTATAATATAGACAACAAATTATGACCTCTAGATTCTCCCACATTTTGTTTGGGAGGAAACAATGGAGAAGAATTAGCCCTTGATGTGGCCTGCCAGTGGAGCTGGGAGCAGAGTCAGGCAGTGGGGAGGTTGGGGAGGAGCATAGGCCAGTCCTGGAGGGTGGGGACGGCTTGGATGAGGGCTCTATGTTGGAGGCAGAGACTGGGTTGAGGCCGTTTGGCAGTGATCAGGTGCCTACGGAGCTGGACAGCAGTGAGGCAGAGGAACAGCTAGGGCCTGTTCCCGGTGTGCGCATGCACAGATCTGCCAGAAGAATAACTCAGAAATCAGGATAGACTTGGCAGTAAAGTCACAGGCGGAAGGTGATTGGCCCCTCCCATGGAAAATAAAAGAGAAGCGAAAGGGGAGTGGGCTTTTGCAGGAAACAATTCATTTGTTCAGTCATTAGATTCATTTCAGGAGTGTGAAGATCTGTCTGTGAATCTCAGAGATTCTGTGCCCAGTCTTTCCTTGCATAGCACCTCATTTGGAAAATATTTACATGGCAGCTTTCCAAGATAGATAAGGTCTGTAGTCATAAATATTCCTTTGAAAGATTGTTTGCCAGGCCTTGCTGAATGTGAATGAGAGGAATTCACACTCGTTTAATAAAAGTGGTTTTGTTGGGACCAGGACTCTGTCTTGTGCTTTTGGGAAAGCCTAGGTCAGAACAGCTCTGTCTTTTCAGTGCTATGTTATTTCAGTTGCAATAGACCATTACTGGTCAGATGTGAGGAATGATGTGTATGGATGGGGAGGTGGTGTGAGGGACTACATTGAAGTTTCCCAGGAAGAAGTGAACACATTTCAAGGAGGGGGCTGAGACAAGAGGCAACCCCACCCAGAACTGAACAGGAGATGGAAGAAGAAATTTTGGATAGCCACTCCCTAGAATCTCTCAGAACATATCTGTTGGGGCAAGAGTAATAAGGGTTTAATCTTGCAAAAGGCTATTTATTGGATATAAAGAAAGAAAGAATGGAACTTTGGCTGGATTGTTCTATGTTGTTCTTGAGCTGGACCTGATATCAAGAAACAGATGAAAGAAGACCTAGCCATATCAGCATTTGTGGATGAATGTCACTTTGTTCCCATCTGCTATTGATCATCTGACTCATGAGTGATGAAGAATAACAGATTGTATACATCTTTTAACTGCTACTTGCCATTGCCAGTTTAAGTGAGAAACACTACTCTAACTGTGGTATAGCTAAGAATGACATGAACTTGTGTACTCATGGGCTAGGATGCAGATACATGAGAATTCAGGTGAAAAAAAAAATAGATACAGAATGCAGAATAAAACAATTGGAAGGGAGCTTGTAGGTCATCGAGTCCAACCCCCTACTCAAGCGGGAGACCCTATACCATTTCTGACAAGTGGCAGTACAGTCTCTTTTTGAAAATCTCCATTGATGAAGCACCCACAACTTCTGAAGACAAGCTGTTCCATTGGTTGATTGGTCTCACTTTCAGAAAATGTATCCTTATTTCTAAGTTGAATCTCTCCTTGATCAGTTTCTATTCATTGTTCCTTATCTGGCCTTTAGGTGCTTTGGAAAATAGATTGTCTCCCTCCTCTCTGTGATATCCCCTCAAATATTGGAATACTGCTGTTATGTCACCCCTGAACATAAGAGGTGACTAGACCAGCTATGCCCAATTCATATATTTTAGCCTCCAGGCCCTAATCAATACAATACAATAGCAGAGTTGGAAGGCACCTTGGAGGTCTTCTAGTCCAAACCCCTGCCTAGGCAGGAAACCCTATACCATTTCAGACAAATGGCTATCATGTTTGTTGCTCTTCTTTACACTCTTTCTAGAGTCTTTTTTATAGAATGGTGACCAAAACTAGATGCAGTATTCTAGATGTGGCCTTACTAAGGCTTTATAGAGTAGTACTAGTACCTCACATCATCATTTGTTAATGCATCTGTTAATGCAATTTAGGATTGCGTTGGCTTTTTGGCTGCTGCTGCACACTGCTGGATCATATTTAATTGATTGTCCACTAGGACTCTAAGATCCCTCTCACAGTTACTGCTTTTAAGCCAGGTTTCACCTAATCTGTATGTGTACTTTTGGTTTTCTTGCCTACGTGTAAGAATTCAGTTTTCTCTACATTGAATTTCATTTGTTAGATAGGGCTCCTGAGTTCCAGCCTGTCAAGATTAATCGAGATCTTGAGCCTATCACCTAAAGCAAGCCTCTTAAACTTCTGGCCCGAGGGCCAAGCCCATGCCCAGTTTAGCGAAGGAGCAAAAAGTCCCAATATGGCACGTGACACTGCTGTGATGACATGAGTTTGACACCCCTGATCTAGAGCAGAGGTGGGTTGCTCCCGGTTTGGCTGAACCAGTAGTAGCGTTGGCGGGAGGCTCCGCCCACCTGCCCAGACACTTCTGCACATACGGAGAAGTGTCACATGTGCAAGTGCGCACAGGAGCGCACTCGAACTGGTAGTAAAAATATTGGCAACCCACCACTGATCTAAAGTGTTCATACCAGCATGGTATCATCTGCAAATTTGATAAGCTCCCCGTATCAAATTGTCAGGTTATGTTTGTTCTGCTTCTTCCAACTGATCAAGAACCGAATCAGGGATGTTGAAAACAATCTGTTATGGCTGAAATGTATATATTTGTTGAATTTTAAAATACCTTAATTATCTCTATCATGCTAGACACACAGCAAATACTAGTTTCATAAAGTGGTGGAAGCTCCTCTAAAAGCTCTGTCAAAACCGCCACACATATAACATTGCGCAATAGCTCTGGGAGAATCTACATTTGCTTCTCAAAAGGTAGTCCATGTTTATTTGCATAGCAAAGTCTTACAACTATTGCCAAAATTAGGACTGGCATGTTGCCCTACATGAGGCCCATAGAAGATTAAAGCATTTTCTCTTCTGGAACAAATCAGGCTAAAGTGGATGTAAGGTACAGTGGTTTATGAACTTACATTTAGAACTGAGTGAACCTTTTATTTGAAAAGTTCTCAGTAGGGAATCTAAACTTGGAGCCAAATCACCTTCAGTGAGCAAAGATATATCTAAAAGGGAGTCATTTTTAAATGAGATACATTCCTTTCAGCTCTCTAGGTGCCATGAGAAAGAAAGCTCCAAAGCTTTGTGTCATAGATCTAATCAAAGGGCATTCATCTTTCATTTGCTCAATCACACTGTAATATATATGTACAGAATGAGCTCCAATTACCCATGAATATAAAGAATGAATAATGTTCCTAGAGGGATACAGTAAGTTTTGAAACATGTCCCAATACTAAATCAGATTTTTGTTTAAAACTTCTGTTTTAATTTTAAAAGGTTCAAGTCATTCAACAAAGCTAGTAGAATCCCTACCATGCTATAGACACACAACAAATACTAGTTTCATAAAATGGATGGGATTATCAGAAGCCACCCTGGTGAATTGTCATTGCTGATCCTAAGTAACAATGTATTAGGATAATAAATGTGGGGTTTTTTTTTTTTTTTTACAAAACATGAGCAAGAATGCTTTTGACTAGCCATTAGCTAAATGAACTATAAATCCTGGGAAAGTTATGATTTTACTCACCAAGATCAAAGACATAGACTCCTGGAAGGCAATACACGGCATTCTGGCTTGAACAACCTCCAAATAAATATATCTTGCCTTTTACTACACTATAAAACAAAGTTGAAATGTTAAAGTCATCAATAAAATGTCTGTATCTTCCCGCCCCATGGTTAGGATTTTCTGTAGAAAAATATACCCTTGGTTCCTCAAAGAGTATTGCTGACCTGTAATAGTTTTCATCACACAGTTGTATCAATAATCTAATTTGGGAGTGGAGAAGCTTTTTGGTGCTCAACAGCCAGGAGTGCTGGCAGGATTCCATGATGTGCCTACAACAGCTGCCCAGCTAATAAATGTTAGGAAAAACTGAGGATTATGACAATGTGGGTGTATTTCCAGACTGTTTCCAGCATTCATCAGCTAGGCAATGGAATCAGGTGAGAAGCCAGGAGGGGATAAGGGCCATATGGAAGGCAGCTGAGGGTTACAGGTCATTTGTAAATCATAGGAGGCCCAAATATGATCTACATTCTATTTTTTTTTTAATTTTGGTGCAGTTTATATTTATATAAATACTGTTTTTATAGTTTGGGTGTGTGTTCACCCATGCATGACCTTGATAACTTCCAGAAGAACCAGAATATATGAATAACAGTGACTAATTCAATACACAAATAAACTCTGCAACATATTTTTTTCACAATTAGAACAGGAAATAGGTTCCCAAAGAGAATGCTTTCTTTAAAACTAAGAGGGAAAAAGGTGGTTGATTCCATAAGGGATTACATGGCATGAAGAAAGCAGTTGGAAAACAGATGTATTGTTATTTTAGATGAAGTGAAATATTTATCTCTTAGGATAAAGTGGATAAATTCATTAAATTGTATACTATCTCATCTCGCCCTCACACATCTTCTGAAGTATAAAGCTACACTTATGTATTGAAAGAAGCAGGTTCAAATGGAAGCAGAATTACAAACTTGGAGGTGAGGAACAGGAATGAATTACACATGAAAATTACTTTCTGGTCTTTTGTGATGGTTTGAAGCATTTAGTGTGCAATACCTCACTAACATAAAAGTTTATGTTCAGCAGTAGCAGTTCCAGGCAATTTGATGTACACCACACCACATAACAATTACCTGTTTAAGAAAGGCTTGAGGTGATGTGAGCATCATAGAGATTGTCTGAACATGAACAACTTATGGCATTTATCATGTGGAGCTACCTATAGAAGTCTATAAGCCATATCTAATAATGGAAATATGCCCCAGAGGCCATTGGACATTTTATAATTGTATAAGCCAACCAGTGGAGTGGTCAGCTTATTGTTATTTCTAACTATACCTTCCTAGGTATTTTTAAATTATAAATAAATATATATCCATATCCACTTTTTTTTAAAAATCCCTTTAGAGGGCTGGGTGGGACATGAAATTCCTCATATAGCTTATCTCATAGAGCAGGTGTGCCAAACTGGCTGTCCGTGGGCCAGATGCGTCATGTGCATGCCACGGCCACTCGAGCTCCACAAATGTTGTGAAACGTCACGTGACGGCAACATGACGTGGCGAGTTTGACAACCGTATCATACAGCTTTATCCATTCATGGTTTTGCCATACTAGCAATAGCAATAGCAATAGCAGTTAGACTTATATACCGCTTCATAGGGCTTTCAGCCCTCTCTAACCGGTTTACAGAGTCAGCATATATTGCCCCCAGAGTCTTGGTCCTCATCCATCTCGGAAGGATGGAAGGCTGAGTCAACCTTGAGCCAGTGAGATTAGAACCGCTGAACTGCAGATAACAGTCAGCTGAAGTGGCCTGCAGTACTGCACCCTAACCACTGCGCCACCTCAGCTCTTTAAAGAGAGTTGGCAAAGATATGCATAATATTTGGAAATCCATATACTCCCTAATAAATTCATAAGTGAAGAATAATGACTCCAGGATTTAGATGATCTAGATATTAAACATTTCCTAAGCCAAGAATATATGTTTTTCTTCTTATATATTCTGATATATATTCTGATATATTTACATAAAATAATATATAGTCTAGCCATTTTATCAATAATGGGCTTTTGAAGAGGAAAAAAGCTCCATGAATCTTCTAAACGAAAATAGTTCATTTTCACTACATGCCAATATTGAAATATTTACTATAAGATGAATCAATCAGAGCAAATTAGTAACAATTTGTGTTATAATTTAACATACCGTGTTCTCTTTATCAAAGAACAAGCTCCATTTATCATAATGGCATTATTGTGGAGAAAGCTTGGATAGATTCCATTTCAACGCCCCTGCACCAAGATTCAGTTGATGTTAACTTAGAACAAAATTGATCATGGGTTTTCTGACCATTCAGTAACTGGCATTTTTTGCTTTTGTTTTTACATATTTGAACTGCTGGAAAAAATGGAGAATAGAATAGAATAGAATAGAATAGAATAGAATAGAATGAGTTGGAAGGGACCTTGGAGGTCTTCTAATCCAATCCCTTGTTTAGGGAGGAAACCCTATACATGTCAGACAAATGATTGTCCAATCTCTTCTTAAAAACTTCAAGTGTTGGAGCATTCACAACTTCTGGATGCAAGTAATTCCACTGGTTAATTGCTCCAAAACTGTCAGGAAATTTCTTCTTAGTTCTAGATTGCTTCTCTCCTTGATTACAGTAGGAGAGAAATAATATTGACAATATTAGGCTAATGGCCTTTAGATTTTAATAGCCTTCATGCTGCCTGAATATAATGGGACTTGAAGTCAATCTGACACCAAATCTTATCTGATGAAACTGCTTTCTTGGCTACTAGTATTCTCTGGGCTTCCAGGGAGTATTGGAATGCAGTTTTGTAATTCCCAGCTCCAGCACAGAGAAGTACAATGCCCATAGTTGAAATCCACAAGAGCTGACCTATGTGGGAAATTGTATTAAAATGGTAGTATTATGGATGACAATGAAGGGTGGATATCCATGCATAACCATACACATGGATTGCTTACCAAGGACTAACCAGCTGAGATAAACTATTTTGTGCAGTACGAATGAATGGACAATACAATGAAACGTCTTGGAATTAATTTATGTTTAGGTATAATCAAATTCATCTTAATATCAGCAGTATTTTTGGAGAAAGTATTTGTGCTTTACTTTCTTTAGGTTGAACTCAATTGCATGAAATCAATGCTGCAGGACAGCCTTCTGCAATGCAGTGCCCTCAATATGCTGGAAAAAAATTGTATAACAGGTGGCCTGCTTAATGGCCACTACTTTTTTCTAGCTCGTTGGTGTTTTAAACCAGGTGTGGCTAAGACAGTCTCCTTCTGGATATACTGTATAGTGAGTATCTAAATAGAAAGTACTAAATGAAAAGCAATATAAAGTAAGATTTCTGATTTTCTGAGCTATTAAAATAACTTGTATGAAACTCAGAATGCATAAAACTCAGTTTACATAAAAAAATGGGTACATATTGCTAATCTCTTCTCCTTTGTTTTGAGCTTGTGAAATAATCTAGTTTCATTTTATATCTCTGTACCAAGAGATGATGGATACATTTTCTTTTTCTGAATTGCTTACTTACCTAAGTGAATGCCCTTGTCGTGGGCACGGAATATGTCCATCCTGTGGTATCTTTTCCCACATCAAATCAGTCAGAGTAACTGAAAATTAGGAGATATTTGATATTACCACCACCATCATTAAATACATCATTATATATTTATATGCGTGGAGGTATACACACCAACGAAAAGCACTGGTATCTAAATAAGATTTCCATTTGTTTAAAAAAATGATTGTGATGCAAGTTCACACAATTATTTCCTTCTAAGAAAAGCGTAGTAGATGTAGAGTAGAAGTTTCCTTTCTAAGATCCACATTTTTATTATTATACTATGGAATATAAAAAGGCTGACTATTCTTATTTATAGGAGAAAGTATCTTATTTCTGAAGAAACCGATGGATGCTCCAGAAAAAGATTAGAGAAGAAGAGGAAATATTTTCACTATAGATTTGGGGAATGAGTGGTTAGTTTCAAACATCATGCAAAGTGAGCATGTGGTTTATTTGGTTTTGCTTTACAGTGTTGTAATAATGAGATAACTGTGGTTAGAAAACAATCCATAATAGCAAAATCACAGTTTAATCTTATTTGTTATGCACGGTCTTTGTTGACATGCAGATCACTCAGTTAGGCAGTGATCCTATCAGGTACTGTGACATTCATGGCATGTTTCATGAAATATTGAATAAAGAACATTGAACAATCAAATATTCAAGAAAAAATATTGGATCTACTTAGCAGAATACAGAGGCATCTGAAGGCTCCATTTTTCATTAAAATGATAAAAGCAGCATCGTGTTGCCATACACAATGACACAAAATGTATGAATCTAGTTGCTCTAAGGCATAATATGTTTTAATTAGTCTAAGCTTGGCATTTATTCATTTAATTTGTGTACCACTTGACTCCTAACAGGTTGCATATTAATCTGTGCATTGGAAATTTATTCAAGAAATCTTGGTTAAAACAATATGAGTCAAGAACCAAATTCTTGTGCTAAAATGAGTCAAGAACCAAGTTCTTGATCATACCAAATCAAGCCCCCCCCCAAAAAAAAATCTGCAGAAGGGACATTCTACAAAATGATGTATTTTTGTACAATTTTTATATTAGGAATGTGTACAGGAGAAACACTGGCATTACTTGCAAACTATTCCTTCTTCTATGGTTTACAATTAAAATTCCACTATTTCATAATGATAACCCTTTTTCTGCATTACAAATAACTGCTCCATTACAGTGAAAGATGTGTAACTCCAAAGAGATGAATAAACTCCTGAACATACTGTCTGCTAGAAAAGATGAATAGTATCTCACTTGTCAACATGTAGAAGTCATTAAAATATGTTGGTTGATCATCCTGAAAAAGAAAGGAAGAAAGAGACTGAACTTGTTTAATTCAAAGGTCATCAATATTGTCATTTAGACAGATTTTAAAATTAAAGTGTAGTTTAACTCTCTCGAGTTAGTTGCATTAGAAATAATAGACAAACAATTATCTAGACAGAAGCAGGCATATCAATGAGATATCAATAGACAATGACCAGGATGTTGTGATTCTTAAGCTCAGTGACAGGAGAGAGAAAATTTTATCCAACAGAAAAAAAGGGACGAGGCAGCTTGAGAACTGATGCCAAATAGTGATCAAATTAACAAGAGATAACAAAGAAAACTGATACTTACAGAAGCATTATAAAAGGAGCAGCCCCCAAATATAAATGCTATATTTCCAGCCATTACCAACGCATGTCCATGTCTAAATAGTAAATCAAACAATGATAAATATTATGGGAGCATATTTCAAATTAAGTGATATAAGTATACCATGAGGTAATCCCTTTTTTTAAAAAAAGAGAAGAAAGCAGCTTTGATGTGGAAGCATTTCTTGTTGTTTGCTATTTTATTGATACAAATTCAGGATATTTCCATAATTGAGTGAAGACTTCATTATACTGCTTTGTATCATCATCATCATTTGTCTCCATCATATGAAAACCTCTCCTCCACTAAATGAATCATATATAATTCTATATAATTCTACCTCCCTGTCATTTAAATAAGATGGACTTGGTTATATATAGCATGGACAGAAATTAAAGAAATTGAGTCAAAGATGCTGTTCACATATCAACAATCATAACAATAATCCAATCATTTTCTAAGTTGCAGTTCTTACTCGATTTGTACTGTTTTCTGGAATATGGAGTTCTGTAATAATTATTCATTAAGTTTAAAAAAAAATCTAATGCTGCCTTTTTTATTTATTTAACAGGAGTTATTCAATAAGCTCTTCAAAATTCCAGCCTGTTACTCCAACAGTGACTTATGGAAGTGTAAACATAAATATTAAAAGCAAAGTCCAAAAATACGATAGATATATTAAAATATCAACCTAGAAGGGTAAGAACCAGTCAGAAAATTAACCAAAGTCAGGAGAAGCCATAGGAAAGAGCCAAACCAAGAAAGTTAGGACCAGATCACTAGCTGGAACTCATCAGTCAGGGTGGACATCAATTCAGCCTCATAGGAGAAAGCAACACATTTGTGGAAGCCTCTGTAGTTTTCTTTCCAAACTGGATTTAAAGGATGGATCTTTTAAAGGATTTGGCAAGTTTTTTTAAAAAAAGTATTTGTGCTCATTTGCAAATGCATAGGTTAGGGACAGCAGAAATACCGCATTAATTACGGGGGCAAGCAACCAAATTTAAGTGATCTTGCATCAGATCTTTTAATCTATTAATATGCATTTCTGTCTCCTAGAGAGAGCTGGCAGGAAGTACCTGGCACACTTTGAACTGCTCTGATGGCTGAGCTCTACTTGGCCACAGCAATGAGGCTGGGGATTGGATATATCTTCAAGGTTTTAAGGAGCAATTTAGGGGCACCAATTGACAGAACCTCCAGGTACATTTCTTTTCCCAGCCAGTAGAACTTGTCAGTCAGAAATACCACCACAATTGCTGTGCTTAATAGGTAATGGGATGGGTTTGGGCAACTAGGGAAAAACACTTAAGACAAAGCTTTTAGTCACTTTTCAAGTTGCCTGAATGACAGATTGTGAACATAGAGTAAACGTCTGTATGGCTGAACTGTTACTTGGGCTACTTTTGAACAGACTCTTTTAGCATTCTTCTAAAAAGTACAGGTAGATCACAATTGAGCCTAAAATTTCTGTTGCTAAGCTAGACTGTTGTTAAGTGAGATTTGGCCCATTTTGGGACCTTCTTTGGCACAGTTGTTAAGTGAAAGACTGCAATCATTAAATTAGTAACACGGTTGTTAAATGAATCCGCTTCCCTGTTGACTTTGCTTGTCAGAAGGTCACAAAAGGTTATTACATGATCCCTGGACACTACAACCATTATAAATATATGCAACTGACTCATAAATAAATAGGAGTTGTGGCAAAGTGTCTGAATTTTGATGACATGACCATAGGGATGCTGCAATGGTTGTGTGACAAATGATCATAAATTTTCAGTGCAGTTGTAACTTCGGTCAATAAATCAACAGTTGTAAGTTGAGGAATACCTGTTCTGGGTTGTTGCTTTATACACATGTAGTGCTTTTCTGGAAAAGATCTAAACCGGCATCCAGAAAATAGTTCAGATGCAGGTTGCGCACACAGCAAAGAGATATGCATTGAAGCAGAAGGAAATTCCTTCTTGGTTCATGTTGTACTTCACGCTATGTATGCAGTGTATTAATTGGATGCAGAAAGAATCGAAATGATCAATATGTGCTTTAAAGGAATGACAGAAGCAGCTGGGTGCACTTGGCTACCCCCAGTGTCCTGTTACTCAGTTTCAGAGAGGAAATGAGAAGAATTATTTTCAGTTTTACTTCCCTATATTCTAAGTTCCATCTATTCTAAATTGTTACCAGTAGTGGTAGCACCTATAAGTAGCCAGTGGAATTTGTAAAAATGGTGCTCTTATACAGTAAAAAATCACTAGAAAGTAAGACTGTGCTTAAACCCCTTTGTTGGTAATAACAGCAGAAAATCTGGAATGTGCTTATTTGCATAGAACCAGCAACAAACCACTGGCAGAATCTGGCTCTCATTCCTGATTTCAATCAACCAAGGCACTCCTTCATTTTCATAATGGCAGTTCTAATGCTTTTTTAAGAGACAACTAATAACAGGTTTAAAAGTAGGTTGAAGCACTAAACCCACATATGGAGCCTGCATAATGCCTGGTTAGGCAGCACATCAGAGGTGGTATTCAGCTGGTTCAACCTACTCAGTAGTGGAAATTGCGGGTGGACCCGCTCTATGCCGTTCTATTTAGTCACGTTTTCAAGCCAAAGCGCATGCATGGAAGGCTGAGCGCATGCATGGACGTGCGCTCATATTTGCGAACCGGTAGGGAAAGTAAGTGAATACCACCCCTGCAGCACATGCGCAAATGCTTTCATGGAAACCGAGTCTTTCTGATTGTCCAAGCCAAAATGAGGGCAGAACTCAGTAACTGAAAAGGACTATTCCCCTCTGAAATGTTGGGTGGAAGATATTAAAAAATCATACAGTTGGTTGAAAAGGCTCTGCCTGTGTGAGTCTGGAGAGATGGAAACCACAGAACATGTTCTTCATTGTTACTTTTACAGAGACACTTGAACCAGATTTATCCTCCTCTGATTAGCAGTTATTCTGCTTGCTCAGACTTAATTTATGCCGAGATGCTGCTCACAGTTGAACTGCCTTTTAAGACAGCACATGTGGTTAGGTTTTGCACAGCAGCATGGAAGATCTGTTGGTCCTTGATGGGCCAAGTTCCCACTAGAAAGACATATTCTATGTAACCTCAAATATTATCCTTTTTGTAACTTTACATGTTATCATATTTTACTTACGTTTTAGAAGATACTAGACATTTTTTGTCTATGGAAATTCTCAGTCATCCACATCCCAAAGGTGTTTTTTCAAAAAGCAACTGGACTTTCTTTGTTTTTTTCTTGAAGACATATTGCTTCTTGTCCAAGAAGCTTCTTCAACAGAAGGGAAACATCTTCAAGGAAAAAGAAAGACAGGTTGCCTATTGAAAAAGCACCTTTGGGACAACCATGACCTGGATGACTGAAAATCTCCATAGACAAAAATGATAATATATAAGATCTTTTAGATCAGGGGTATCAAACTCGATTTCATTAAGGGCTTCATCAGGGTTGTGTTTGACCTCAAGGGTGGTAGTGGTGAGTGGGCATGGCTGGGGTGGGCATGGCCAGTTCGATGTCCTGCAGCCCCCTGCCAATGAAAATGGAGCCTGGGAGGGCGGCATGCAGCCCTTGAGAGCTCAGTTTTCAATGGCAGAGGCACCGTGGGTCAGTCCTTCACTGTTTCCAGGGCAACCCCACAGGCCAGATCTAAGCATCCTGTGGACCAGATCAAAAATTCTAGTCAGGTTGTTTTATAAATGTAGTTTCATTTTGTCTTCAATTTTATTTACTGTCTGCTAAGAGCACTCACAGAGCACTCATGGACACATTGCTTGCGCTGGTTTAGGACTGTAATAACCTATTTGACAGACAAGGTTTCCTGGAATGGGCATGACTTAAAATGAGCTATGCAGGGGGGGGGGGTTGCTACTGGCATTACTGCTGATTCAGTGCACAATTTTTTTTGCTGACGATGATAGAACCAGTTTGGGGGCGTGGCAGGCTGAGTTACTAGCTGCTCAGCCAAACCGGTCCGAACCAGTAGTAACTCACCTCTGGGGCTATGGAAACAAGGCAGATTCCAGCCCTTGACCTTGTCATTTCCATTCTCACCAGCAAGATGTTCATTTATGGTGCCCACAGCAGAATTTGAAGAGAATGAAAATATACTTTAAAACTACAATACAGCTAGTCCTCAAGTTTAAAGTTATGATCATAATCGAATCCCAAAATTACAGTTTTAAATCATGACGGTCATAAAATGGGTCACAATGTGATTTTACTACCTTTTTTTTGTAATTGTAATCATCCCCATTGTTTGCTATGAGGCGGGTTTAGCCAGAAATTGTACATAAGATCCAGTTTCTGGCAAAAATGCTATAAATCGCAAAGATGTTACCATGGGGCACTGCAAACAGCCATAAATGGGGGGCAGTTGCCAAACACTCAAAATGGGGTCGTGAGTTGGGGTATAGGGAGCGGGCAATGTTGGAACTTCAAAATCAGATCATAAGTAGAGTTTAAGGGTTCATTGTAACTTAAATTGGTTAGTCAACCTGTTGATGAATGCAATGTTAAGCTGCCTCTGCAGCAGGCTGGGAATGAGTTGAGAAGTGCTATCACAGGGATAGGTCCCCTAAAAACATCTCCAGTAGTGAGGCGGCTTTTTGCTGCAGTTCATGGGAAATGAGGTTAATGCTTTAGGAAAGCAACCTATGCTCCCTTTCACACTGTTACCATCTCTTCTTGCCAAACCCTCCAAAGCTGTGTGAGAGGATCTGCAATCACTCAGATCTATTAAGGAGGAAAACCTCCACGCATTTCCTGAACTTCTACAGACCTTGCAGAAGAATAACAAAACCAGAATAAAATCTTATGCAGTAGTGAAGAAAAGTAGATTAAATCACTTATATATGATCCGTATAAATACACAGTACCTTGTTATGTATAAATTTACTACACATTTCATTTATTTCTCTGTCTGGAATAAAATAAAATTCTAGGCCCCTATGGGAGAGAGAGCTGAAAATCCTTCAAGCTATCTTTCCCTTGAAAGGCAACAGCAGAATGGCTGCATACCAGGAGTAAGAAGGTGGCTTGAGTTGGGGTTTCCACAGCCGAGGGAACAGATTGCCCATAGGCTTCATAGAAATGAAGGTCTCCCAAACCAAACTTATTATCTTTTCATACATTTCAAAAATATCACAGCTGACCACAAAACTAAATTGGCTCAGCTGTTGCGGTTGTATAATCACAAAGAACTGGAACCAATCTTACAGCAATATAAACTTTAGGAGGAGTTAGAAATTTGTAGAGCCAAGTTCATTTCTTTGTCTGTGTTGTTTCCAGTTTGACAATATCATCTTTCACACACAAAGTCTTTCTCTACATCATTCTCATTGGGACAGAGTAAAACATGAGACATTGACCTGAAGTCTCTGCTGACCATTGCTAATTCTTACTATCAAGAACTATGGTTATTTGGTTTACATGGTACATTATGCATGGCTATCCCCTGATATGACTATCCTCTTAGAATCAAGAATTGGAGGGAACCCAGGGAGATTATTTAAACCTCATAAAATTGGGAGGAACCCAAGGAGATCATTTAAGCCTTATAAAAATATATAAGAAATAGGATGAAATATGTAAGAAATAAGTTGCTTTTATGAATACAACTTAACATATCTGCATGATGTGATATTTGGAAGAAGTTTCACACCACTCTTAATTATACTCACAGTTTTATAAAATCATATTTACATTATATAAACACACACACACAACATGTGCACAAAACAACAGCACCATATATTATATACATAATTATTAATAATAATACACATTATATTATCTATCTAATATACAATAACAAAATGTATAACTCTTATGTTATGCCCAGTGACCAAGGATACTATTGAAACTATACTGGCATGGATGCACACATATACACTTTGTAGGTAAAACTATTAATCAAGAAAACATACGTCACTGTTAAAGAGAAATTTTTTATTTTAAAAACAGATTTCACATAGGCTAAAGAATAGTTTCCTTAAGCTAACCACAGTCATACTACCATATCTTTAACCACAATAAACTTATTTATAAATTAAATTCTAATGCAAGGTAGCCAAGAAAAAGAAAGAGAAATGTAACAGTTCACTGAATACTTTTAGTGTTATATTTCAGTATAACACAGAGACATAAATTAAGACTGAGGTTTTTTTTTTTAACTAGTGTGCCATACCTAGGAGTTGGAGGATTTCCATTTACTTCCTTTTTAGTCCAGTATCCACTTGCGAATGCCATCTAAGAAAGCTGTATTTGGAGAAGAAAATAATGGATTATTTTGAGAGTATTTAATGGAATTTCTGTTGGTGTTCACTAATAAATATAAATTATGTTTGGGATGAGATTGACCAATGTGTATTTCAGAATTACTTCCATTTGTGAAAGTGACCAGGACTGACAAGTTTTCTTTTTTTTTGAAAATTCATTCCAGAGATTGTCCTGATTTTTATATGGAAGAAAGGGAAGGACAACTATAGTCAGGAGATTGGGGGGATTATATAAATCTTGGATTTCATCCTCTACCTTTAATTCAACTTTTACCAATATGGTCTATTTGGATGTGTCTGAAATGCAACTCACAAAATTTCCAGAGCAAAGAGAAATTCTGACTAGAAAATATAGCAGGAATGGACTTCAACACATCTAAACAGCTGAAAAAAGTATTATCGATTAGTAGAGTATTATCGGATTCACTGAAATTGATAACAGTAACGATTCTGCTGCAATCTTCCTTGTAATTTGTTTGTGGAAGTTCTCCAATAATGACAAAGCTTGAAGCAAAATTGAATCCCCCCCTTTTTTTCTCTGTGTTCTACTCACCACTGAGATTCTGTTTCTCTAGAAATGCAGGAATTAATATGTCTGCAACTTCAGTAAGGCTCCCAAATTTAATTTTACTAGTTTTGTCAACCTCTTTAACCTGCCCTGATTAACAGTTGCTATGACACCAACATACACAGTTTGAAATGTACACCTTTGTTGCCTTTATAATTGTGATTTATTTCCGGGTTATTTGAAGTCATGGCAACTCAAACAGACACTGACCATAGTGTACACTCAATATCCCATCATTCTGTCCTTCTCTAACAAAAACCTATTGAATGTACAGTATGTGTGGAAGATTGCCATTAAAGAAGCAGTAGGCACATTTTTAAATAAAGGATTAATCTTGACTTTTCAAAGGCTATAATCCTATGCATGTTTTCCTATAAGCAACTGATACCCTATTCTGTATAGACACTATAAAGGAATATAAAACTATGGGTAGTATTAACTGAAGATCAGATTGTAGAACTGTTGTTGCAATTAAGATAAATCTTTATAGTGATTATAGCAGAGGTTTTGTATCTTCCCACCTTGTTGAAACACACTTCTTCTAGGGTTGAATTTGAGCTTATAACAAGGTCCTGTTAACTAACTTCCATTTGTTGTTATTCAGTTGCTAAGCTGTGTCCGACTCTTTGTGACCAGCCCCTCCTTACACTATAACTAACTTCTGTAATAGCTCTTTATTGACAATATTAGGTAAAACTACTTGCAGTAGAGGTTTAGGTTGTCCATCTCTGACAAAGATTATTTTCTTCCCCTGGCTTATCAATATTCTTGAATATGAAAATATTATATATGGTTATATCTAAGATGATGATGATGAAGAAGAAGAGGATGATTTATATGCCTTTATCAAGGTTTGGTACAAATCAAACTACAGAAATATGATCCCCCCAAAAAGTTCACAATTTAGTAACTAAACCAACTGGACAGATAGTTACAACAAAGATAAGCCAGCTGTTGCAACTATACAAATTAGCACCACCTTACAATACAGAGAAATTCATCCACAATACAAATTTCTGTGAAACTATGGCCTGTAGACTATCTTGTGCTTTCTTCAAATAGTTCAATGGGAAGAAGAAAATTAATCACACTATAAATTAGCCTCTATGACAGAAAAGAGATGGCATTTGTAAGCATATTTTTCGACTTTCCAGTCAAGAAATTAGAGTAAAACGTATGTATCTCTGTCCCATAAAGCCATATTTTGTTTCTAGCAGACTAATTTTGGCTAAACATATCTAGGGAAAATCAAAATATTCCAAAGCTTCTATGGTTTCTTTTTACATGGAAGATAAAACAATGTTTGCTGTTATTCTAATACAAACACAACTGATCCATTCATTCTCCTATTTACCATATATAATTGACCCTCGAAGACAGTAATTTCCCTTCTCTCCCCCATGAAAGTGTCCTTATCTTTACCCATCTCATGAATGAAAAAGGCTGAGGTCATAGTTATGCAGGCATAAGCAATGTTTTTTCTGGCCTCAAGGCAAACTTCTCAGATAAGCCTCCCAATCTCAACATTAGTCACATTACATTACAATAAATAAAACTGTACCCTGCAGAAACGCTCAGCTCCTGGTAGGGGAACATAGTGTGCTCCTACAGTAGTTCCAAGGTCTGTGAATGTTAACTCTACCCAAGCAGTGTATACGGGTAAGCAAAATAAACTGAGGGCAAACAAGCAATATAGGCAGAGGGGACATTTATTATTATTATCTCCTTTATTCATTAAACATAAAATCCGTCAATTGGACATTTAAAATGTATCATAAATACCACTGACAGATGTTAATGGTTGATACGGGTTGCTGTCAGCATCATAGGTATCAACCAAGTATCTTCTTAAAATATACCCAATTTTTCAGAGTATAAGACGCACTGGAGTGTAAGACTCAGCAAGGTTTTGAAGAGGAAAATAAAAAGGTTTTTGCATTCTGCAAACCTCCCCAAAACGGCCTGTTTTGGAAATGCGACCATTTTTTTTTCAAAAAAAAGGGCATGAAGAGCCCTTAGGAGACTTGTAGAGTGCTGCAGGGGGGGGGGGGAAGGGCCATTTTTTGTTCATTTCTGCCCTTCCCAGCCCCTAGGAGCTATGTGAAAGCCTTCTAAAAGCTATGAATGGCCAATTTGGTGAAGAGGGCAGAGTTTTGAGAGGCAAAAAATGCTGTATTCAGTGTATAAGATGCACCCAGATTTTCAGCATCTTTTTTGAGGAAAAAAGGTTCGTCTTATACTCCGAAAAATAGGGTACAATGTTCTGAGTAGCAGTTTTTTGCAGTTTCTCTGGTGTTATTTCAGGAAGCTGCAATTTCTGGATGTATTTTAGAAAAATCTTGGACATGGTACCAAGTGCCCCGATGACAATGATACCATGTTCAAAATTTTTATAAAATATTTTTTTATTTTTATATTATTATTATTTCATTTATCGATTAAACATGAAACTCAGTCAACTGAACATTTAAAGATATGTCACAAATACCATTGACTGGTGCTAATGGTTGATACGGGTTTCTGTCAGCATCCTAGGTATCAACCAAGGATCTTCTTAAAATATATGTTCCTAGATCCTATGATGATGATGTGAAGGGATAGCAATGTTTTTTTTAAATTATTATTTCTGGTCCTGGAATGCTCTGAATTTTTGACCAAAAGGAGGGGGAAGATGAAGTAAGATACTTATGTGTGAAATTATTTAGAAATTCAGTTAAGGGTGGAAATCATGTTTGGCACTCAATCTAACATAAAGACTCTGGATTGATTATGTTCCCAGCAGTTGGCGTTACAATAAACAGAAACAATTAAGCATATTGCTATTAGAGCTGCATTAGTAGAGGCATCTGGTGTTAACTGCAATGATACACAAACGATGAAACATGCATCATGGCCTAACAGTACAAATGCCACCCTTAGTGCTGGCATGAAATGTGAGAAGGTCATGTTTAACAAGAAGAACATTGCATTAAGAGATGTTAAAATAGAGAGTGAGAGCTGATTGCTCTAATAGGTTTGCTCAGCAGACACCGAGTCCAATATCTATATACATGGTTTGGGGAAAAAAAGCAGTGTTTTTATGTCAGAATATAATACCAAAATACTAAATATTATGGATGGCTGCTAATCTCTTATATGAAATGACACTAAAAGAAGGCGGCAGAAGTCCTAGTAAATGATACAGACTCTTCCTCAGTTGTCCTTAACCACAGCAACCCCCTGACTTCATTCATTTCATGCCCTGTGCATATCTGAAGCAGCTTAAACTTCTAGAATAGGGGTGTCAAACTGGCAGCCTAGGGGCCGGATGCATCACCACGCCCACCCCAGCTCTGTAAATGGGAAAAACATCACAAAAGCTCAAATGATGGCGTGACGCAGTGAGTTTGACACCCGTATTCTAGAATATAAACTGAGAGGAAACTCTACTCTGTACTAGCACCGATGATGTTACCTTGTTTGGGTAATGAAACATCTGGAACAAATCTAAGAGAGCACCAAGGACCCCTCAGCTTAAACTTCTCCTTACCTGCTCCAGTTACATTGTGGTGCTTTCTGTCTTTTTACACCGCATTTGCTGTGAATACAGTTTCAGGGATTGTGATCTACTTAGCTCTTATTGGCCACTTCTATGTACTGCAAGAACACTCTTCCCTGTGGTTGTTGACAGGGGTGGTATTCACTTACCTACCCTACCAGTTCACAAATGCGAGCATGCTCGCTCGCTTCGATCGCACGTGCCACAGAGGTGGAATTCAGCAGGTTCTGGAGAACTGGTAGTGGAAATTTTGATAGTTCAGAGAACCGGCAAATACCACCACTAGCTGGCACCAGAGTAGCAGTTAGCAGTTAGACTTATATACCGCTTCATAGGGCTTTCAGCCCTCTCTAAGCGGTTTACAGAGTCAGCATATTGCCCCCAACAACAATCCGGGTCCTCATTTTACCCACCTCGGAAGGATGGAAGGCTGAGTCAACCTTGAGCCGGTGAGATTTGAACAGCCGAACTGCAGATAACAGTCAGCTGAAGTAGCCTGCAGTGCTGCATTTAACCATTGCGCCACCTCGGCTCCCTGGGGTATCCTTCCCCTGCCACGCCCACCAAGCCATGCCCACAGAACCGGTAGTATAAAAATATAGAATTTCACCACTGATGTGCCACCTGTCCATGTGCTCAGCCTTCTGTGCATGTGCTTTTGGTCAAAAAAGGGCCTAAATGGGATGCCATAGAGCTGAGGTGGGTGGGTGGGGGGTCACCTGTTATTTCTGCTACTGGTTCAGGCGAACTGGTCCGAACCGGAAGAATACCACCTCTGGTTGTTGAACTCTTCCTTCCACAGTTTGGGCTGGATTGCAAGGCAGACTCCTAGCTCTTGGAGAGGCATCTGTCCAGTAATGTCTGACTGGTGCTTTCAATAGTGCTTGTCAGCTCCTACACAGCTACCTTAGGGTTAGAGATCTTCTAAAAGACCATTGGATCTGTTTTTAAGCACTAGTTAATGCTTCTAAAAGAGTGCTGCTCCTGCCTTATATAGACTGAGTTAACAGGGAAATGAAAGCCAAGTTCTGCTGTATTACAGGTTTTCTATAGACATTTTTTCCATTTTTTAAATTATTATTTCTGAGGCCCCATCCAAAAATGCTATCGCTCTGGACAATGACCTAAGGCCAGGCTCACACAGCTGCAGTTTCCATGGCTTTGTGCAGTGCTTCACAGCTATTTTCTTATTACTTTCCAGAGAATTAGCAATATTATGCCCCTCTCGCAGAGAGAGCGGGCATCACTGGGCCCACTCCATACCAACTTTATTAGCAGTAGGTGCTATGGTGATGGCTATTGTTGCAACAAGTAAGCCACTCAGATTTGTGTGAGTCAAGATGTCCGCTCTAGCATTTAGGTTCTCTTTGGCTATTATCTAGCTACTTCTGGATGCTGCCAGACTTGAAGTCAATTGCTTCTTCCTTAACCCCATTTGGGCTGGATGCATCTTACTTGTCAGCTATGCTGTTTCTGAATTAAGCCTATTTTCAGAAAAGCATTATACAGAAATAGCTTGGATGACAGGTATAAG